GGATTGACCCATGTGCAAATGTTGCGATTGCGCAGTTTGACGGCATAATCATGTCGCTAGTAAACAAAATGTTTAAGAGTGATACTTCCTTAGGGTTGATTCTCGCTGCTTTATTTTGAACAAGCAGATGCTCAGGTAGGAAGTAACTAGATCGTTTAGATACTTAGGAAAGTGAAATATTAATTTATGAAGTAAGCCATGGTGCCGTACTCTATCAAACGACTGGGATACGTCAAGAAAAACAGCTGTGCAATTGTGCTTTTTTTTCCATCGCATCTTCGATTAAGCTCGTTATTCGAATGAACTTGATCGATTGTGGAATGTTGAAATCTAAATCCAAATTGATGAATTGGTATAAGTCCCTTTTCTTCAACTACATTCTGAAATCTTCTTATGATTATAGCTACGAATAGTTTATACAAAATATGCAACAGTGAGATTGGACGATATGACAAGGAATCATGCGCGCTTTTGCCAAGTTTTCGTACCATAATGATTTCAAATACTTTACATGACAGTGGGACGTTTACACATCGGTACTAGTTAATGCGCCATCTTCATGCCACCGACTGACCTAACATGCACGCGATTTGGTGCGAACCTTTGTCTTCATTACACATAGACATTTCTTCGTTTTTCTTCTCTGTTTGATTTGTTTTTCGCGGTTTATTTACTTAGCAATTCAAAAATGAAAGTTTTTGCCACGGYAAAGTGAATGTAAACTATTTAAATTTGCTTCGACCTGCACTTGAAAGTTTGCTTGCCTCTGCGGTATGCGCAGCAACTTCTGAGTGTTCCTAAAGTTGTGTCTGGAAACATTTTGCAGGGTGGTGAAATGTAAATGGAATTACACGCGGATGGAAATGCGAAAGTTGCCGTTGRTTCAATTAGAATGCAATGAGCTGAATTAATTTTGAAATAAGGAAGATGGCATATGAGAGTCTTATAACTGAGTAGTTCCGCATGCGTATATACAATACTTATATTTTCACAAAAGTCTAATTCATTTCAGCATTAATTCTATTTTATAGTTAGAAATTCTCYAGCAGAATTCTTACCGTTTTCCAATAATCTACTCGTACTCGTATAGGTAACATATTTTTCTTTAGATGCCATTCGAAATTGATTTTCTTTAAGGCGAAAACAATTTAGTTTTATTGTGCTCCTTTTCAAGTGTCCACTCTTTCATCCAGCTGAGAATTATAGCCTATAGACAAGGTCATAAAAAAACCAAACTGCCGAAAGCTGTAAAGAGTACACGGAAGATTTTATGCACAAGATTATTGATACCTCTTTCAGTGTATCATACCGTTGACCACAGATGTTTACACTGTACTATTGCAAATTCGAGACCAATGCACAAGTGACGCTACAATGTTTCGCTGGCGCTTTCCCCTAGACATCTCCTGCAGTCTTCACGTTCTGTCAGCCCCATTATGCGGGCATGTATCGCCACCAGACAGTGACTTTAGTATTCCGATTATGTTCTTACAGTCTTTTCTATCGAGTGCCAATAGGCATTCATTATTAATATTAATAAAATAAAATATCAGCTAGGCTAATAAAGTGTAAAATCTGTTGGCTCATTGCTTTTCATATTGTTCGGAAGACTCAGAGAAGTTCTGTTAACYGCATTAATCGTTAGACCTAGATGTAGATTATTCTTGAGTTAGTGAACTCTTTTATCCACTGTTTGGAACACGATTAAGTTGATGTCTGCTCTAGTGTYTCAGTGATGCGAACTTTTCAACTGGATGAATGGTGAAGTTGAAAGATTTTTTGCAAGTGATCGAAAAGCAGAGCTCATTTTTAATTTGAGATATTGMAACCTGCGCTGCTTCCACAACAAAAACTTCTTGGAAAGTGAGCATGAACCAAAAATGCAWGAATTATCAAATGCTCTCAACAAAAAATATT